AAGCATCAGTGTGATCGGGGCAGTGGTCTGAAGTACAGAGCAGCAGGCCTACCCTTCTCTACAACTTTGTAGCTTTGTCACTCTGGGCCCATTACTTACCTCAGTTTCCTCACCTGTAAAATGGTGATAATAACAGTACAGGGAGGATTAAAGTGTTGCATGTGGAGTGCTTAGCCCAGTTCTTGGCAAATTTTGTGTTTTTAGTCAGCTGTTAGCTCAACAGCCCAGAAGAAAGTGGCACTTCCATGGAATGAGTAGTTACAAAGGCTAAGTCTTAAATGGTGTCAAAGCTGGGGAGCATGACAAAAGTAAAAGGAACTGGAGAGAAAACAAGACCAGAAAAAAAAAAAAAACTGAAGGAAAAAGACGTATCTGTGAAAACAATGTAAAGCAGCAAGCCAATAATAATGATGATAATTGTTATATTATTATACGCACTAAAAGCGATGGTGATAGTTGTTAACACGTATTGCTCTGTTCCAGACCCTGGTCTAAGCACTCTACATGGATTAAGGAATTTAGTCACCTTCACAGTGACTCTGGGAGTGATACAGCAGACACTGTCTGTTGCCCCAACTATTACTCTCATCTCTTTCTTAACAGAACCCTGCCACTGTTGAGTTCACAGTATTATCCAATGTACCAGTCAGCACTGGACTGAGACATCTCACTCTTTTCTGTTGGATACTGGTTTCCTCATCTCCCCTGGAGTCAAGAACGGCCATGTGACTTGAGCTGGGCCAATGAGATACCAAGAAATGTCTGCTGGGAAGCAAGGGCTTCTGGGAAATGCTTGCATCCTGAGGCTCAGACATAAGAGGAGGGCCTGTTGGTATTGCTCCCTTCCCTTTCTTCTTGACTATAGGCCATCTAGTGAAGAGCCAGATGGCAGAACCGAAAGCATTTTGAAAGATTTTGACTCAAAGGGACATGGGTGAAAATGCTAATCAGAAATGTTCTGCAGACTGGGTGCTTTCAGTTAAGAGTGAAACTAATCAATACATAGCAATGACATTTCAGGACATTGCTATTTAAGACCGTACAATACAGATAACGATACGTATGAAATGATGACACTAAGATTAATTATGAAAAAATTCTGTCCACAATATTTCTGTTGAAAAGGCTTAGAGCTTGAATGATTAGCTTTCAATTATCTACAAACTTAGAATTACATAGAACATTTCTGAGCTGTTGCTAATGTGCTTCAGTCTTCCTCCTCGTTGTGTTTAGGCTTCCTGTGACACTTACCACTCAATGGCAGAAGCCAGAATTCTTTGGCTAAGCTGTCCCTGGATGTAGTCACTAAGAGCTTCACCCTGAGCCCTAGGAAACTTTAAATATTCCCAGCAGCTGGAAAAAGGCAGTGAAATAGCTTCCAGGGGGAAAGGATATGGCTCAGGAACAGCTGGGGTTGAAGAGAAGTTACATAAGACTCTCTCCCTCTTGGCTTCCTCCTTTCCCCTCATGCCCTACTTTAACTCATAGAACCTAGCCACTGGAGAAAAGGCACAACAGGAGGAAGGGTCCTGCCCCATTTCTCCACACCAAGCTGCAGCCACCAATTTATTTCACCTGCATAAAAATGCTGATAACTTATTCATGGTCAATATGCCACAGGGTATCATTTGTTCTTAAAGATCTTTCTTTGGCCATGGCAAAGTCTCAGGGTTAAGTCTTTTTTTTTTTTTTTATGTTCAGTTTGGGTCAAGTCTTATAATTCTACATTCATGTTCCCTAGGCCCTTGACATAGAGACATAGAGTTTAGGACACATACGAATTCTAGAATTCATATCTAAGGGTGACTTCCGAAATCATCTTATTCTATTTAACAGCCGTGAAATTTTAGGCTATGAACGAGTAACCCATTTTCCCAACTGGATTCTAAGATCCTTGAAAGCAGAACCTTTTCTCACTTTTTCTGGCATCCAGCATGTTCTAAGAATACACTGTGTATATCACATATATTCAATTGCTACCTCCCCATAGGGATTAATAAGCTGTCATGATTACAAAATAAGCAAAACGAGGGGCACCTGGCTGGCTCAGTCAGTCAAGCGTCCAACTCTTGTTCTCAGCTCAGGTCATGATCTCACGGGTCAGGTCGTGAGACTGAGCCCCACGTAGGGCTCCATGCTCAGCAGAGAGTCTACCTGAAGATTCTCTCCCTCTGCCCCTCCCACTTGCTCTTTCTCTCTCAAAAAATCTTTAAAATAAATAAGCAAAAAGATCTTCAGTGTTTGTGTGTATGTATGTGTGTGTGTGTGTGTGTGTGTGTGAGAAATGGGTCACACGATTTACTTGGCTTTTCCACTAACAACTTATTTTGAAACTCAACTGATGAATACTCTGACAAGGACTCAGTCAGCCTCTAAACCTCTGAGTGTGGTGGTCAAATACCTTCCGGGCAAAAGCCTCTCTAATTCAGTTGCCTGACCTTATAATTGGAACAGGCGGGATCTTGTCCATTCTACCCCTGGTTAACCACAGAAAGTCCAGAAAACTTTAATTCAAGGATGACCAAGTACTGGCAAGAAGGATTAAATGTGGGTTTTGGGGTCAGACACGCTGGGGCAAGATGTTTAACGCATCTGGGCTTATTCCCTCCTTCAGCGGATGTGATACACACTTCAGATGATTGCAGTGAAGATCAAATAAGAAAATGGATACTAACTGCAGAGTCATACATCCTTAATTTCTACTTTGTTTTATGGCAGCATTTCCTAGGTCTAGCTATGGTGAAGCTGAGCCTGACATTAGGGGAGGTGAAGAAACTGCAAAACTGATCATTCTGAGTTTTATTTCATCAGGCAAGCACAAGGCGATAGTGCATGACTAACAACATGAATGGCCCATTCGATTGCTCATCAACTGAGAGAGAAGAAAACTGGATTTGATGAACTGAATTTAGACAGGCAGGCCAGCATAATGGGTGTTTCACATGGTTTCCAGCCATGTGGACTGATTCTCTGATGCTCATTCCATCTGATAAAGTCTACTTTTTGATAATTCTAACAAAAGAAAGAAATCAGTTGAAAAATCAGCAAGCAGTGAATGAAGAGTCCTTAAAAAACAAACCAGTCTTGCAAAGGAAAAGGAGAGACTGAGAGTCTCAACTTATCTCACTGGAAGAGGATTCTCTCCCTCCCTGTACTTCACAGCTGGAGCCCAGGGAGCAATTTTCCGTGGCTGCTGAGAGAGCAGTCCGGTAGCACAGATCTGTCTCCTCAGCTGCTCTCCCCACTGCTGCTTCCATCACCCCATGACCCTGGTTGCAGAGCTTCGGGCCCTTTTCCCGGCACACATTAAAGCACTATCTCTGAACCTTAAGAAATAATCAAACTGTGTGCCCTATTTATAAATGTAAAAAAAGTCTAATCCATTCCTGGAGATCATGATACACCAAACCAGACTTTATCTTCCTTATGTCCCCACTTCTTCGGTTAGTTCTGTGCTCTATTTTCTGCAGTTCCTACTTTGGATGGTGTATACCACACGCACGCACGCACACTCTTTTTGCATTTTCCAATCATTCAATTTCAGTTTCAGATGAGGAGGCTTTTAAAACTACATATGCTCACATTTTGGGAGATCCCTACGTCACTGAACTAAAACGGCTAAAATGGTTTCAATTTGAGCTGTTCTGAGTTTGTTGTGAAGAATAACAACAACAAAGCAAACTCAGCATTCACAAAGGCATGACGGGAAGATTGTGAGCGGTCAGACAGTAACAACACTGAGCAAGTCCCCTGCAACTCTAAAGAGTAGGTCAGAGGTCAGCCAGCCAGATGATGAAGGGATCGTAACCCTGCTCATGTTTTCTGGGCCTCGGGGTGCTGAACACTCAGTTAATCCCCACAGCCATCTTAATGAGGAACTGAGGCTTAGAGCCTGTAAGGATCTTTCCCTAAATCACGAAATGAATACAATCCCATGTTTAACTCCAGAGCCAGACTTCTTAACTGGGGAGCTATTCTGCTGGAGTATAAGTATAATATAATTACTGGGAGTAACACCAAGGCACTCAAAGACATAAAGTATGCATTCCTCCGTGTGTGTGTATGCACACATGTGCTAAAGCAATATTCAAAAGGCATTATGAAATACAGTTTAAACAAATCCCAAGGTAGGGATAGATTTGGCTGTAGTTTTCCAGAAGCAGGTGAGTTTGGGGCTGGGCTTTGAACTTGAGGCAGAACATGGGCTTGGCAGAAACCTACCGGCTGGGCATACATTTCTGGGGAGGAGAGTGCCCAGGTCGAAGGCCCAGGTTATGCTGAAAAGACAATGGGCAGCCGGGCACTGCTGATGCTCAGGTAGAGAGAACCAATGGTAGCAGTGCTGTGTACTTTCGAGTAGGATAAACGTAGGGTCAAAGAAATATCTAGCATTTGGTTAAGACACTCAGAGTTACTGCAGTTCCTGATGAAGGGAACTCTATAATTGTTTCTGTAAAATTATTCTAGTAGCTGTTTATTGGACCACTTGGAGTGGAGAAACTGAAAATGAGGAATAGTTCATAAATTTTAGTAGCCTAAGATAATTGAAGCCTGAGCTGGGGTGGCTATGGGAAGAGTTCTTTATTTATTTTTATGACCAAGGTCTGCAATCAAGACTTCAGAAATCGTGCAATTTCATAATGGCTGAAATGAGTATGAGGCTACAGGGCATGCTACCAAGGGAGCAATCAGAGCTAGATGCACTGGAGTTGGGGCTCATCTATCAGAGATGATTTTAAATCAGTGTGGGCCTGCCTGGATGCAAAAGGGGAGATGCCAGTTGATATGAAACTCCCCTCTTCAAACTGTTCTCACCATTTTATTTCCCTTGGTGTCCCCAGTGATCAAATCCACACAGCGTCAAGGATAAAAGAGAAAATACCCAGTTAAAGTCTGCAAAATGCATCACCCAGAGCACCGGAATGATCGACACAGGAGGATTCTCAACTGTCTGTCTTCCAGACCCCGCCTTCATCTAAGGACCGTGCAGGAGCGCTTACCGCAAACATCCACTCTGGGAGGAAGCGCTCTCCACATAGTGCTTCAGAGCAAGCTGGAACTCTTCCAAGTCCTCTTCTATCACAGACATCTGACGCTGGACAAGCATGATGTGCTGCCGAGGAATAGGCAAGTGTTACAGTCTGGCTGTCACAGAGCCTCGCTTCGGCTGACCCCCTGCAGCCCATCCCTCCCCTCCTCATGAAGCAAACAACTCTCATCTAGAGATATGACCAAAAGGAAGGCCATGACTAATCCAAGTAATATGATCTATACAAGCTGTAATGCAGGCAGGATACCTTTCTTGCCTCTAGTAGCAGGTGCTAAAGACAGTGCCTCTCGATGATATACTTCCCTTTCAAAAGCAGTGGTTCTCAATTAGAAGCACTGAAGCAGTTTCAAAATTGCACTTACATCAGAATCTCTGGAAGTGGGGTCCAAGCACAGTATTCACACAAGCCTGCCCTCCCCCCGCCTTGCCCCGCAAAGTGACCCTAATGGGCAGCCAGGGCTGGGATGACCAGCCTACAGTCATTTTGAAAGAGTGGTCTTACTCTACACCTGGACAGCTCTCTAGCTTCACCTTAAATATTTCATATTAGACATGTGTATCATTACAAACAACCAAATTTCAAAATGTGTGTTCAGTGCTGCATTTCCAAAGGTACATTAACCACTGACCACCTACCACAGGCCCTGCTCAAAATCTCTTGGCATCAGATGGAGCCTGTGTTTAATGGGTCACTGGGGCTGGATGGCAACTGCTTCTTGTAACAAATCCTATTATGGTTATAGCACTTGTAGTTTGAAGACTTCCCTATAGATCTGCCTACGGGCTTCTTATGGCACTTTGCTCTCAAGATTACGCCTTTTCTCCATCAAGAGTTAGGAATGAATGATAGAAGTGCAAAAAAAAAAAGTAAGGATTGGGAGTGAATTATAAAAGTGCAAAACAACAACAATGTAAGGACAATTTAGAATATGAGGAAAATAACTTGCACAATATTACCCAGCTGTGTAGTGGTAGAGCCAGAAGTAAGCCCCTGGTTTGCTGTCTCCTCTTCAATGAGCTTCTCACTTCATGTTAATAGTTACCATTGTTGGAGACCAGTTATATCAGAGCTATCATATTAGACACTTTATATATCCAATAATTGTTCCTACTTTGTTTTTCGACAGGTAAATGCTAGGTGCTGGGTTCTGGGTATACAGTGACGAATCAAGATAGAATCCTTACCTTCATAAGGTTTAGTAAATATATCAACAATGTTGTTTGGTGTTTTTTTAATAAAGATTTTATTTATTTATTTGAGAGAGACAGAGATAGCGACAGAGAGGAGTGGGGAGGAGAGGGAGAAGCAGGCTCCCCGCCAAGCAGGGAGCCCAACGCAGGGCTCCATCCCAGGACCCTGAGCCGAAGGCAGACACTGACTGAGCCACCCAGGCGCCCCAAGAAATCAACAAGGTTTGAAAACTATGTCTATGCTATAATTTTAGGTATTGATACTAGCACATGAAACTGCCTATATGTAAATTGACCACAAGTCTACTAAATTCTTGAAAGAAGTGTATTATCAAATAAGTCTTGATCCCAGTCTCAAAATCCTTTGATTGCATAAGCCTTAAGGTAATATATGGGCCTCCAAACTCACATGAACAGGAAGCAGGCTATCAATATCATATAACCCCTAAAAAGGGCAATACTCTCTGATAAGCTGCTCCCGATGCGGTCATGGAGGAAAATGAACCAAAAGAAACTCTCAAAACAACAATGGAAACAAGAGTTCCTCCCAGAATGGAGATCCAGTGTCTAATCACAGAACTTCCTTCACTGACAAATACCTTCGCAGCATGAATTCACTGTTGCAATGAACCAGTGAATGCTGTATGCTTCCTATCCATGCCTTTCCTGAATTACAGTTTTTATGACATTTCTCCTGGCCCAGTTTTATCATTGTATATTTTATCTGTGTGTTTGTGGGGAGTGGCGAGGGGAGATAACTTATTTTTATTCATAAGTGCGTCAGACTGCAAGGGACTACATCTTGATCTTACAGGGAGGACTGATCATCACCCAGGAATGCCAGGCTTTGAGCTAGAAGCAGTAACTGGAGGAGACTTAGGGTGGTCTCCCTTGTGAAGGGGTCTATGTGTTCTATATATGTGAAAAGAATATTTGATGATCAGAAGGCTCACTGTGGCAGAAACTCCAAACTATTCCCCCCAAATCCATTTCCTCTTCTTTCTAGGTACAGTAGAGTACATAGTCCATCATCCTTTACAGTTAGGTATAACCAACTGATGAGTTTTCACCAATAGAATATGAGAAGTGCTGTGTATTGCTTTTGGGCCAAGACTTTCAAGAGGGATGTGAACCCCCTCCACATTCTCGTCCCCTTTTCTGTTGATAGAATGACCTGCCTTAGGAATAGCAGAGCCACACTTGAGAGGAGCCTGTGTCCCTGAATCATTGTGTGGACTGTTTTACTGGGCAAGGAAGAAACTTTTATTATATTGGAATCATTTTCCATTTGGGTCTATTTGTTTCCACAGCCCAGTCACCTTAGTGAGTTCGGTAATTTTAATTGAGCTTTGTTTTATTTCCCTTTAGGACCAGAGATCAAGAATCAGTAGATATGAGCCTATAACTATCTCCTAAGATTATGTAATGAACAATCAGCCTCCTGGACCACTCTCCCAGGACCTGGTTTTAGTGTCAGTAATGAAGAGTTTAGGTTAATCTCTGCCAAAATAACTGTGGACATGTTCTTTTGGCAGAAATCTACAGAGACTTCTTGATCATGTATTTGTTATTAACAATGACTCAGATGATTTCTCATGGGCTTTCCTAGTGAGATATATAAATATATCTACCTATTCCACTGAAATTCTTTTAGTCTGAAGGCAATTCTTATGTGATCTAAATTGCAAACATGAACAGAATCCTACACTACTCCCTGAAGGCATGCCCTTTGAAATGTGACTTTTTAGCTTCTTCTATCAAAACATAGATCCGATTTCCCTTTCCCTTGGATCTGGGCCAGCCTTATAACTTGGTTTGGTAGAGGAGTCCTAATACCTTCATGACATTTCTGTGTGTCCCTTATGTCAAATACACAACCTGAGATCCTTACTGAAATCTGGTGTGAATGGCCAGCCCAGAGCATTTTTGTTTCTCTGCTTTAGAAGGGGTAGTGAACCCTTTATTATTTACTCAATGGGGATTTTGTTATGATGGAATTATGGTGGAATATTTACAGAACAGTTTTTGCTAGTCACATTAGGTTAGCTGCATCTACCTTTGATTTTTTTGATTTTTTTTTGAGAAATTTCAGCTTTTTACATCTCTGGAGACAAATATTTTAAATGCAACTAATTTGTTTCATGTTTTCTAGCTCTATTTACTACATTTACCATGGTGTTCCAAGCATGTCTTCAGAATAACAGTCTTTCTTGTGTGCTCTTGTTCAATCTTATAATAGCTATTGCAAAGCAAAACTATGTTTTAATAGTTCCTGACATATTTGGTGGCAATAACCCCCAATACACATGATATTGTATGGCAGGATTAATTTACTTTAAAAATATTATCATTCACAGACTTCATGAGGGTAGAAAGACAGAAAAGTATATTAGATTTGTAAACTCCTATTGTATAAGCTATTCTGGTATAAACAACAACAATGTGCTCAAGAAAAGTTACAGCTTTTGAAGAATACTGGAATGGGATCAAACCTTGTTTAAAATTATACTGACTCCAAAAAGAACCCTTTTGAATATAGGAAATATCTAGGAAATCATCATCTTTTTCTAATAGTTGTTTGTTAAGAAGTGCCATGCAAGGCATTCAATGGCACCAAGCAGAAAGGATTTGGTTGGGTAAATACACCTGGCTAGATCCAGGATGTGTGGTCTGGATGTGGTCTGGATGGATTCCCTTCAAAAACTATATTGACCTTTCAATGATTCATACTCCCTGCCTAGTACTTGACAGCTAGAAGACAATAAATTACCCCCACATCTTCCATGAGTCATAAAGTCACAATCTGGGATCTTAGATCTGGGTTTATCTCTGATGTACGTTTCCTATTCTATTATAACAAGAGTAAAATTATGAATTCTGAAGGTTGCGATCTTTATAACATGCTTGTTACAAATCATTTGGAACATTTTGATCTTCCTACACAGCCCCTTAGTGTTGTTTTAGTGCAACATTTGAAAAATTCAATGTTATAAGAGATATGTAAATATTTTTTCAAACTCCTATTTATTCTTTTTGACTTCACCTTAAATACTATGTCATTCTTGAAGCATTCCCTGGCCTCCTAAATTAGGTTGTGTTCCCTTGCTGTGCAAATCTATACTTTCCTATAATAATCCTCATCACAGTGTACTGTAGATCACCGTTGAATCACTGCAGGTCCTTCTGGTCCGTCTTGTAGCGCCTGTAATATTCACCCCTTTATCTAGGCCCTCCCCCAGGGTCTGACACATAGCTGGTGATCGGGTTATTCATGGCACAAACAAGCAAATGCTGCTTTTGCTTTTAGCCAGTGACCATTCTTAAAAGCTCTTTCATAAATGTTATTTATGCAAGCTTCATTCCAGGAAAGGATTTGAGGTGGTCCTGCTGACTCCAGAGCCCTGCATCATCTTCTTTCATCTACCTCCATCATCTCGTTCTCTTTCCTTTCCCCTTTAAGAGCAAAGAGCACACTTAGCTTCACTTTTACTAGCTATGAGGCCTTGAACCAGTTACTGCATCTTTTCATCTTAAGTCACCAAATGAAATTGGAACAGTGGTACTTATATCACAGAGTTTGGGGGAAGATTAAATGGAATAGTGTATGTAAAAATCTTGCCCAGGATACTCAATAGATGTTACTTCTCATACTCTGCTCACTGAGGGAAAAAAAAAAAGGACCTAAAAAAAAAAAAGAAATCATATCCTAGACTCATCATTATGTAATGATTCACGTTCCAGAAAACTCGATATGGCAGCTAGTAGGGTTTGGGACTTTGGCTGTGTGCTTAAATAAGCCTGCCAGATACTACTGTTCTGCTCTAAGGGTAGGAAATCTCATGAAAATAAGTCATCTGTCAGCTCACAACCTCACTGGCAAAGAACAACTCCACTTTAATGTCCAGAGATGCACCAAACACTGGAGTGGGACTACTACACAGTGTGGGGTGCAGGTCTAGCGTAGAACTGCTGGTGTCTGGCTAGGGTATTGAAATCCTTCCACACCTTAATTTTCCACCTGCAAAGTGGGGTTAGTGATGGCACAACTTCAGATGGCTATGATGAGGATGGAGTGAATTACAGATGTGTTTGTTTGACACAATACTCAGCACATAGCAAAGGCTCAGTAAAGACTAGCTTTTAAAAAATAAAATCTATCATAACCATATATTCTTTGCTTTCTAGTATGGAATTTATTTTTCAAGGTTCTCATGTATTCACTAATGGAAAAGGAAAATCACCTCTCTAGTCAAAGAAGACTAAAACTGGTTTTGGACACCAAGAGAAATCACTGAACCCAGAGGAGCATGCGATGCTGGGTGCTGGCTGTGAACAGTGGAGATCTGTTTTAGTCATTCCGAATAGGGAAGGTTTTATAAGAATCGATGGTGAGGCGTAAGGCCACTAATGATAAAGTACAACTTCTAATGACAAGTAGCCTATTGGTATCTTTGAGAAAAACAAACTTATTCAAATCATTACTATACTATATGTGTATTCCCAAAGACCGTTATTATTTTACCTTTACATGTGGTTGAAAATAGTTAAGGAATATCCTTCCCTGCTTTTCAATAATATTGACTACTGAAGCACCTTGCATTACTGAATTAGTAATGCTGTGTGGGTTGATAAATATTTTAAAATTGACATTGGCCTCTCTCCTGTCAGGGACCAGAGAAGGGAACAGTCTGCCACCCTCCATCAACAGTCCTTAGATGATTTTTTTCTCCCACTTAGTGACAGAGAAGAAATAGTCTCACGTTAGGAAATTATGTAATAGACAATGGTCTCTCTCAACATTAGAAATGTTATGTTCAGTTTTCTTGACTGAAGTGTAGTTTTCCCTACATGCAAATCTAATTGGTGCTAGAGATGCAAGATCGCAAGGTCACCATCCTGTGCCTAAGGGACTGCTAGCAATAGTACTCCTAGTATGTGCACTCAATGACAGCCTTCTCTCCTTCTCAAAAATGATTTTGCTTCCCACCAAAACCTATTCCTTTAGAATTCTGGGTGCCTGACGAATTAATACAGACCACATCCCATCTTTGGAGGAACAGAGCACTGAGCATGTAGTGAAATATAGGTTACCTTTGGGCAAAGTGGCCATATCCATAGGATTCTAATCGTAACACCATTATTAAGCTTTTCTCAGAACCCTGTACAGCTTCCCCTTTGAAGACTCTCTGTGCTTTGAGTCTGGACAGATGAGCAGGAGCCAAAAGAAAGGTGAGCCTTGCCTTCTATCACATGGGCAGTGCCTGTGGCGTAAGTGCCTGGCACAGAGATGAAAGGTTTTCCTATCTTTGTTTCAGGTAAATGTGATGGATCCTAGATGATCTATACAATATACATTTAAGGTATTAAGAAAAAAGTGATTTTCTGTGGGTTGCCAAGATTTTAAAATCCAAATTTCCACTAAATGTAAATGCAAAGATCCACTTTCCCCCAACAGAATGTGTTACAAATACTTGCCTCAAAGTAAAATACCAAATCATGATATGTGTTTTCAATTAGTTAACCTATTCATAAATTTATTTTTATTGTGTTTTTAGTGCCTATTAGCATCACTTTGTCCATTCTCTCTCAGTCTCTATAAGTTGCCCCCACTCTGGATGGACATCTTTTCCCTAGGAACATAAATGTTCCTTTTTCTCTAAACGTCAATTTTTTTTTTCTGGAAAAAAAAAATGACTTCTGAGCACTTACAATGCGCCTGGCCCTAGGATAAAAGCTGGAGATACAATACTGAATAGCATCAAGTTTCAGCTCAGGTGTAGCACTCAGGCTCGTAGGGTTGACAAAATGTTGTTCTTGATATAATTTGAATGTTGCCCTTCTCTGTCAGTCACATTCATTCAATTATTCAATAACTCATTGGTTTACATATGCATAAAATTCTCATTTTGCACATATCATATGCTAAGTACTTACATAAAAACCCTGTAAATTTAGGTTTCCACAAATCACAACTTCAGTACTACTTAGCCATGCAAAATAAAATATGCCTTTGTACTAATTTTTCAAATTTTCACTGAGATAGTAACTAATGTTGAAGAAATTAAATGATGTTTTCAAAGTATATTATTTCTGATATTTTGACCTAGAAAAAAGTACTTACAGATTTAGTATTCCCTTCAATAACTTCTTCTTCCCGTGGTTCAAGTTTGAGATCCTTCAGGTGGAGAAAGAAATCGGGAAGGAAGGGACCAGAAATGAGATAAAGAAAACACAATATACTTGAATGTTAAGTCTTTTATGGCTAATGTACCAAAAGAAC